CACCCAGCTTTGCCTTCAGAGTTTTAAAACAACTAGTTAAATGAATAACTTCAGAGTGGAAGTGGGTAGATTCCAACTTGTTAAGCAACAAAATTGAAAAAGCAACCAACTGGATTGATAGCTTCCAATCAATGGTTGCAAAATTAAGACAAGAATTTTAACTGGTTACTTATTTTCTTACAGAACCCCAATTCCCAGCTATGTTTTAAAAGACAAATGCTCAGGCCTAGTCTATTACTTTTTGAATTGGTGGGGTGGAAGAGGGGTTGGATAAAGGTGGGAGGCAGGAGTCTCTCCAGAGAGATTGAAGGGTTACCCCAAGGCTAAATGCTCTGTGGTTGCATTTTCCAAAGTAGGAGGGATGGGGTCTGCAAAGTCCCCATCTAGGGTCGAGGTAGGTGAGGTGCACACCTTACTCAACACTTCATTTCTGTAAGGTGCATCTTGCTGGACTGGTTTTGTCCTTGTTCTGTGGTGCTGGGATTGAACTCAGGGCTTTGCACATGCTAGACAAATGCTCAACCACTGAGCCACACCCCAGTCATGCTGAACTAGTTTCTGAAGAACCATAGTTTGTGGTATATTTGGTAAAGGAACCCAAACAAATTGATATCCTTTCTCTGTTCACATAAATAGAGCCTTTTAAAAGCCATTTCTTGTTTGAATTTGATATCTTAGAGGCCACCATTACATAAAGAAGGTATATGATTCTCCAGAAAATTTCTATTTGATTTTTTTTCTTTTCTTTTTTTTTCCCTTTTTGGCTTTTTAACATTTCTGTCTCTGGCTTGTAACTTTGGGAAGACTGTATCAGGGCTTACATGGTTAATAACAGCAAACTAAAGCAAATAATCACCTTCTAGTACTTCTTTCAGCATATTCTAATTTTTTAATGGAGAAAATGCATTCTTAAATTAAATATGCATAATAAGAAATACTAATAATAAGAATAAAGTGGAATATGTGAGAATGAATCTAGTGTTGTAAGCAAAATGCATTTGATTTGCTAAGGATAAAAGCTGGCTTGAATCAGTAAGAATCAGTGCAAAAAAGAAAAGCCTCATAATGTTCATAAATTGTCCATAATTGTATGGATTTTAAATATAAAAGTTGGCAGTGGCAAAAGCTAAAAGCCATTAGGAGAGATACTATTGTGCAATACACCAGGAGCAGCAAGTCACAATCTTACGAAAAAAAACCCTTGCTAGAGTTTTCTAAAATTTTGATAACCACACTTGAGACTTGTCTTGATGTTTACTACAATGCACGCATTGTTCCGCATGGCATGGCCTAATGCATATATGAATCATATTTGAAAAGAGCTACTAATTAACATGAATAGTCTTCTTCCATGAAGGTCGTTTATTACAAAGTTCTTTCTTCTTCCTTTTTTTTTTTCTTTCTAGCTGAATGTTGCTAAAGGAGTCCTCGACAACAGCCATTAGTTTAAGAGACTAGTCTGTTTTCTCTCTGACATTGGGTCAGAGTTTTAAAGAGTCTTTATCTTATGCCAAGAAGTCATAAAAACAATATTTAAAGGCAAGAGAGAGACGAGAGAGAGATAGAGAGAGACAGAGAGAGAGAGGAAAAGAAAAGAGGAAAGGTAGAGAGAAGAAAATAATCTTTCTCCTGTTGAGCAGTTTACCATGCCATCCAATCCATTCATTAATTTTTTTCTGTATTCAACTTATTGTTAAAATAGTATTTAAAAATTATTTTGCTGAACTTATTCGAGTGAGATTAATTGGGAGGTTTTTCTTTGAAAATGGTGTTAGCCATTACTTTTCTAAGATTCACTATAATGGGTTTTTCAGATATGTAAAAGAACTTTTGGGACTTTGTTCGACTATTCTGGAATTTTTGGCACCTCCCACTGTTGAAAGTTTAGGTTCAACGAGCTTTATGATTTAGCCAGGATAAAGGGATTCCCAAGGTTTGTCAGGAAACAATAGTACTCTGTGCCAAAAATATCTCCTAACTAAATAACTTCAGTTGGTATTTAAATTTTTCTCCATTTGAAATGGTTGAATTTATGTGTCAACTCAGGTAGGTTGTTATACTCAGTGGTTTGGTGAAACCCCAGTCTTTGTGTGGGCATGAAGATATTTTTAAGAGGTGACTATTGATTTTCTTTGAATCAATAGACTTTGTGTAAGCAGATTACCTTCCATAGTATGGTGGGCCTCATCTGATCAACTGAAGGCCTTATGAGCAGACTGAGATTTCCTAAAGAAAGGAAATCCTACGTTGAGACTGCAGTGTAGAAACTCTGCCTACATTTTCAGCTACAGATTTCAGACTCACTTTGCAATACACATCAACTGCTGCATGAATTTCCAGCCTGCTGATGTAGATGTACTCTATAGACTTGCCAGTCCTCACAATCATGTATGTCAATCAATTCTCTAAATAACTAAATTATCATATATCTCTCTCCTATCGGCTCTGATTAATTGGAGAACCCTGAATAATCTAATACATCATTTAAGTACAACTATCAGTAAGCTTCTCATACAAAATGTGCTCTTTAAAATATTCAGCATCTAAAATAAACTTAGATTTTGGACCAAGTTTGCCTGATGCAAAGATATGATATAAAGTATCTTTTAAAATATATACTGGTATAGTCAGTTTTCCATTATTATAACAAATTCCTGAAATAAATCAACTTAAAAAGAGAAAATGTTTTTTGGGTTCATGGTTTCAGAGGATTCAATCCACACCCAGTTGGCCTCATTGCTTTCGGCTATTGGTAGCATAAATGGTACATCCTGGCAGGGCTATGTGGCAGAGCAAGCTATTCACCTCAAGTGATTAGAAGCAAAAAATGAGAGTCCCGCAATCTTACTGGGGGGCACTCCTCCATGACCTAAAATGTCCTACTAAGCCCTATCTTTTCCACCACCTTCCAATAGCACCAAGCTGAGGACCAAAGGGCCTTTTGGGAACATTCCAGATCTAAACTGTAACACACACATTATTTTTACTGGTCAATTTGCTTAGACAATAATCCTAAAGTTTGTCAATTTCATACCTTTTCTAGTTCTGAAGTCTGTGAATACAATATGTGGCTATTTGGGGAATTCGCCAGATCATCCCAGGAAGGATTGGCTTTTGGAAGTATCAGGCAGAAGTTCTCACACTGAATTGGTAATGTACAACTTCTACTATTAAGTTTTCAAACACGGAAGTGTTTTACAAGTTGAAATTAAATAAAAGGCCTCCAATCGTCCCTGCAGCCCAACTCCCTACCCCCAGACTCCTTCTCTTACCAGTTAGCCAGGGAAAGGGACAGCAATGTGGGGGAGGAGAGGAAGCCCCTCAGACATCCCCTTTCTCGTTTTCCTCGTGTTCCCATGAATGAAGTCAACCTATAAACATCAACGTATTATTGGTGGTTCACCAGGTATCGGGCCCTGTTTCATATGAGATGTTGCCCTGGAGATCACAGTATGGAGGGGGGTGGTATTGTCTACAATAGGAGGCAGAATGTGACCTGTGCCCAAAGACAAGAGTCTATGTGACTGTTAAGAGATGAAGCAGGTGCGTCCAGTCCAAAGATCCAGAGAGGACACAGCCCCCTGGAGGGCAGATCCCCTGGGTTAAGTAAGCATAGAAGGGAGGAAGGACATTGATCAATAATGGGGTGAGGAGAGAAATGGGGAGATGTTGATTATTTCATAAACCTCCCTACCCTGGAACTGAACAGACTGCCTCAAACATCTTTGCTGGAAAAATCTGATTTTACCATTAAGAAACTAGTCCCTTAAAAACTGGACCGGTCCCTCTCCAAATGGCATCTTGCCCTTGCGCAGAGACACATCTTGGCTGGGCTACCAGGGCTGGGGTAGCAGCAAGGCAGAGGAAGAGTCTCAGAACCCAGGAGTTTCCTCAAATGAATAGCAGCAAGGATGTTATAGTGTTTTCCTGTTTGGGAAGTTTAATTCTTCACGGTTTGCTTGGCTGTCAGAACGCTTCACGTTTTTATTTGTGAACATACATGGTGATCATCCTTAAGACAAAAAAAAAATCTGATGGCAGGTCCCTCGATGCCCTTGTTCAGAGCAGATGTTGCAATCAGAGCTGGGCTTTCAATTCTCACCCCTGAGATGTTGTAAATTGCATTAAGCAGCATCGTTCCCCCACCCTTCACATGTACATGGGACTTATGACGGTAGTATTGGAGGGAAGAAGTTGAAAGAGACAAACAGATCACCAAGGCAGAATTGTCATCCACGTTGGTGACCATCACCCTCAGCTCTTGTGACAACAAAGGCAGATTTGACTCACCAGGGTTATCAAAGAGAGAGGTGCATGCACTCAGATCACCAATGTGGAACAGACTTGTGCAGCTAAGACTGCGTCTGCACTCAGGGACCACGGCTCATGGGTACGTGGAGCCTGAAGTGAGAGGAGACATTTCTCTTAATGAGAAAAGAAGTGCTCTCATCCCTCTTATCAGGGAGAGACCTCAGCATCCTTGTCAGGGCCCTCTCACCTCTCCTTGAACTCCTCCACTGGCTGGAGTTTAGACATCCTGACTTCTTGTTTGGGCTTTGCTGGATCTAGCCTAAGTCTGGATGGCAGGGTGGAAATTGGATAAACAGCCACACTGACTCAGGGGAGGTTTTTGGTTTTTTTTTTAATGCAAACATCTGTTTCTTGAATTTGGCCATGGTAAGACCTAGGGGAAGGGGGAATGCCAATTGATGAACTAAAACCAGGAAGATTCAGCCCCATTCTTTATTTCTGTCTCAGGAGCATACAGCCCATCTCCTTCCAGCGTTACAGAGGGAAGAACCCTTTCCAAGTTTCCTCTGATACTGGGTCTATGTCCAACTCTTGCTTGGGTGAGCTCACGTGGATGCACTTTCTGGTGATTTGTCGTACCACCGATGTAACTTGCTTTGAAAGAAACCCCATGCCTGCATCTAAAGATGCCATCTCAGAGTAGAGATGAATAGAGCTGTCCATGAATATTTACTAAGCACTTCCCAGCACTGGGCAATATGCTGAAGTGTATCAAGAAGTTTAGAAGAATGAATCTGTATATCCATAAAGCTGCAAGCTTTGATAGGGACATTAATAAATGATAAAGAGCAAAAATAGACAAGCTACGATTTGGTGCTGTATTGCAAAGCACCTATGTTAACAGTCACAATTATTTATGATGGGAGAAGACAAGGTGGACCACTGAAGCTAGAGCAGACTCCAACAAGGAAGTTTGAACAATGCTGATTTCAAGGTGCAAAGAAGCTCTGAGCAGGCAGAACATAGGTGAGAAGTGTGTTTGGTGGAGGAATTGCATGAGATGGCAATAAGGGTTGCTTAGTCAATTGATTGCCTAATTGCTAAGAATTCATGATATAGGGACATGTCTGTCCTCAATTACCAATGGAGACATGAAACTCGGTAATAGGTAAGTAACAATGTGGTTATCATTCATTTGGCACTTTCT